AAAAAGAGACGTAACAGTATATAGAGTGGTCAAATTGAGGGAAAGTCTTCTACTTGACGTGAGACTTTTTCCCCTGCTGGAACGGTCCCTACAAGCCATCTCTCTACAGTTGCCAATCCTGGATACTGAGGAATGAGAGCTGTCTGGGGCATCCAGAAGAACTTCCAAAGCTTTCCTCCTGAGGCTAAACCTTGGTAGTGGATCGTTTGTGACAGGGGATCACAAAAGAGAAGAAATGTTGGTGTTGGATGAGCTCATCCATCACAAGCTGTTTCGCTGTCAGGTGATACAGCAATGTTGAGATTGGTACACAGAGGACTAGAAACAATCCCAAGAAGAGAAATACCCAGTTGCCCTACCAGTGAGAAGCGAAACCCCACGAATGAATGAAGTCCATCTCAGCAATCTGTTTCACCACCAGGTGACACAGCATGTGTTCCTTCTACCTGCAAAGAGGGAAAAGAAAAGCATAGACAATAAGATAGATTATTCGAAATTGTCCTGTGAAAGTGAGTTTCCTCCCATATCAATTTCTGAGACATAGGAGTTACAGCTCTATGCCGTTCTGAAAAGATGTCGTTTTGGCGTTTGAAAGTGAAGTCTCGATGTTTGACAGTCAAACCTCCCTTCGAGAGTCACTTTCACTTTTCATACTTTGCTTCAACCAACCATACAATTGATATTAGAAACTTTTCTTCAGATCTTAAATCAGTTTAATTATTAATCTCTATTAGTGTTTTAAAATCCACATACAAATGTTTTAAAATACAAATATCCCTGAACATCCCTGTTGGGATGGGGTTGAAAATTCCTTGATCCCTTCCTCCAAACTTAATGCTGCCACGTTTAAAATTTAAAAAATAATGAGGAGTGTATTTAGCTGTCAGTGAAGCAATAAACCTTTGTGCAAAGCCAAACCCTCTCCAACATGAGGGGTGAGTTCCTTTATAAACTTCAGGTCTTACAGAATCCGAGATCTCAACGACTTCCCCGTATAGTCAGAATGTCTAGTCTAAGATTGACTTTCACACTGAAGAGCTGTATTATGTCTTGTATGCTCTCAGATAGGTTACTTTCTGGAATAAGCATATCTGAGTAGTAAAATGCCTGAAACTGATCTACAGGGCTCTGGGCTTGTTTTGACCAAGTGGTTATAAGGATGACAGCTTCATAGTTGCAGAGGTCAACCAATGTGGTGAAAACAATCTCCTCATTTTATATTGAGGTAATTAGCCATTTAGGATTTTCGTTTGGTTAAAAACAATGACTAAAACAGAAGTTGCTCTTCATTACTTTCTGATCACCCAAGTGATCTGAAGTGTGAAAATAACTACCCAATGGAGTAGTAGTGACTTTCCTAGTACATTGCAGGGTTTTTCTAATATACAACCAGCTAGGATGGTCGTTTTGTGGAGACCACTGACAGAAAAAGAGTTGTGTACATTTGCGATCTAAGCCCCTTTGTTAAATCCAATCAAAAACTGTCACCCTTATCAGAGTATTAGTGATTCTTCTGAACCAGCAGCAGGGTATCTGCTCTAACAGATTTGGTGGCCATTGGTCATGCCTACAATAGTTGAAAGGGCTTAACAACCCTTGCTTTCTCAGCCTCCAAGTGGTAAGGTGTGATACGGTACATGACATTTGTTATATATTTGTCATTCATATAATAGTTAGGACAGTCGGGATGACATTAACTTAAAGAGGTGTTGCACCTCCTTTTATTTTCAATGCATGTGTGATCTTCTAAACAAAGATTGTTACCCTTTCAAAAGTAGCAGCAGCTCATCCAAATAAATCATAGGATTCTCCAGTGATTGAAGGCCCTGCTGAAAACGTAATGATTCCATGGTGTGCCAGTGTTTGTGTTCCACATAATTATGTTGATGTGCAAGGTAATGTCAAAATAAAAACTTTTAGTACTAGCATGCGAATTTTGGTTGAATGGCAATTCATATAAGCGCTGCCAAGAAGTATTTTCACATGCCATAAAATACGTATTGGGTCTTGATGCTCACAGATGGAAGCACGTTACAAACATGAAATGTTGGAAGACAACTTTGAAAGTAGTCAGTGTAATTGCTATGATAATAGCACATACACCGAGGTAATATGTCAGAAACTACTAGTGCATGTGGATATGTGTTCAAGTCGAAGGTTTACACATATTAAAATATACATATGTGATTATGTGTGTACGAAGTGTGGCACAAATACATGAAACTTCAGACAAAAAGTGAACCAAAGTACAAAGAAGATGAATAGGGTTCAACCTATATTGGAAATTATGAGAATTTGATCAATGTGTTGACATGATGTATAAAGTTAATTGTGAATACTGGACTAACAGACATTTACTGAAGAAGCAGTGAAACTACTGGTTTTGTTAATTTGAGAAAGTTACCAATTCACTTTTGACAGTGAAATGTTTCACGAGTATTGAGTTTTGCTAGGAGGCATGAAAGTAAAGTGTTTTTGATACACATGCAAGTCAACATGACTTGAAGTATATCTTACAAGTGTTGGCAAGTTGTGTTTTGTTTTAAGGTACTGAATCACAGATGGTAAAGTGAAGTTGTCTGTGGAATCTGGAATTCTTGAATAGTATGCCTGTGCATGATAAACTTAAACTTGGGGCTACCTGATGTTATATTTTTTATGTGCAAAAATCTTTCTTTCTTCAACAGAAAAAATGTTTTTAAGAACTCAGTTTTCTGGATATAATCTTAACAGAAATCAAAACAATCTCAGTTCTGCATTAAAATGTAGGGTGCGATGCCAGGGGCAAAATATGATACCTCCATGAGAGGGAACTTTCTTGTCTTAAGCATTTAGTTGCTGTTCAAAGTGTATAGGGAGAGGAGACGTTGTAATAATGAATTCTTACTGGTGGAAAAATCAGGTTCGCATCCTAGTAGTGTTTTATTTATATCAGTCATTGGTGTGGATACTCTCACTCACCCATTTCTTTCCAGCTGGACCAAGCTCTGTTTATAATGGATGAAATGTGGTGGAGTCCAGCTTAGATGCAGACAAGTGGTGTAACCCCACCAACCTCAGAGGCAGCTATTCAGGACAAAGTATATTTTGTAATGAGGATTTTAGACTTACACTTTTAACCAAGTTTCTTTGACCAAGTCAAGTAGCTAAGAAAATGGGGTTCATGTGAGCCAACGATGTCCAGCATTCCAGCTGCCAAGACACCTATCACTCCCTCAAACACAACCCCCACCAATGAGAAGAACTAACAACAAAGCAAAAAACGGCAAGAAACCTAAAGAGAAGAGCAATTTGGAGCATCATGGAAAACCATGAAAATGCCCCATTGAAGTATGCTTGGCTGAAAAGGTAATCAACATGGTATGCATGTACATCTTCAACGGGATCACAAGATCCTTTTCCCAAGTAAGAACTTTCAACAACTCAGACCAATGAATATGGAAGCTAAATCTGGCACTGTTTCAGGCACATTCACTACGTATACTACCACCAAATTAAGGGAGATCATCTCCAAAATGGCAGCTGCTACTGTGACTAAATCATCAATCGTGAATTCAACTGTGACAGCAGTTTAAAAAATAGAATTGCGCTCAAAATGAAAATAGACTAGGAGAAAAACTCATGCTTCAAATATGAATTTTTTTTGTCTGTTTGGGTATTTTATATTCGAATGCACAAAGGTTATAAAGGGTAAAGGCAGTCTTGTGTATTTAAACTAATTAATCTAGTTAAGTGTTACCTGTACAACTACCTGAACGAATCTAAGGGCCATGCAGGGCGTCTTCATGACTGTGGGGTTAAACCTATTCCATAACACGTGATACCCTCTAAAAATCTCAAGCACAAAAGACACTTTGAGCAGAAAAAGGCAAACCAATCGACTTTTCTGGAATAAGAGACACCAGATCTAGCGATTATTTCAAAATCTGGGTATCAGGGGTAAGTTTTAGAGCTCAACGAGGTGACAGTACCGGTATTTTAAGTGTCTATAAACAAATAAAGAAGTTCACCAAAAAACCTTGAAACATAAGCACTGCTGTCTCAGATGGGGCCCTGAGTGATGACAGCTCCATTCCCCAAATACATTTCCTTTGCAATGCATAGCACTATCTACATCCACTTCTTCCTTGCACATATGGTGATGTTCTTCGTATTCCCTTCTCCTAATTTCCTTTTTGCATAGTTTAATGAAGTTTATAAAGCTTTCCAGGTACGCAAATATGCATGCAAACAAACTGCTCTTTTAATTATATATATAACAAGTGCATATTTAGATTATTGTATAAACTTTTACTAGGTAAGGTATTTATTGCTACCTTCACATAATACAGCTTTATTTTAGGCAATGCCACATAACCTGGCTTCAAAGCGATAAATTGAACATTGATATTTTTTTTAATAAATTTACCATAGTTAGCTAAATACAAATGTAATAAATTTAACAGACAGCAACACAACATATCTTTCATGACAGGAACTGTTAAACTGACAGAGCAAGCGGTACAATAGAGTTGACAGGGTGTTACTGTCAGCACTGATGCAGTATTTGTAGTACACAAAGCGGCTTTTTGTGGGTTAGTAGTTAATTGGCTTTTTTAGCAAAATATTTAACGTACATTTGACATTCTTCGATAAAAAGTTATATTAGCAGTATATCATTTCGTATGTTTTACTTGGAAAATTACTTAGTTAACGTTTATAGTAACAGGACTGAAGATAAGATATATATATTTTTATGAATTTCTAAAATATATATTCTCGCTAGGTGACAGCGCTCTTTAAACATGGTGACATTCTTGTTTGTATCATGCGTTCAAACCACAAGTACTTGAAAGATAAAGTGAAAAGAAGCAAGGTTAAAAGAAAAATACAAATATAATAAAGTAAAAATGGTTATTCGAGTTTTAGAGCTATTTAGTGGTATTGGAGGGATGCACTGCAGTTTGAATGGTAAACCTTGTGTGTTAAAAAACGTGATTTATATTTCTCAGTATACTACTATATTAATTACCTTATTTTTCGGTGTATAAGACGCACTTTTTTACCCCAAAATTTGAT